AGAGAGAGAGAGAGAGAGAGAGAGAGAGAGAGAGAGAGATTGTGTGACTACGTTACTGTAATCGTGCAGAGATTAAACGGCATCCTTTGGAGTTTGCGAGGAAATTGCTTTCGTGTACAAAAGACGCTGAGATCACATCCTCTTTGAGTTGAAAAAAAGGAGCGGGAGACTCTACCCATTTACAGAGAGAGGGTAAGAATTCAATCATTGGCTGGGTCAAGAAAGGAGGGTATCCATCTTATGTTGAGACGTGCGATTATGCGACAGAGAGGAAAAAGGCAACTCAGCCTGCAAAGCTCAGGGGGGGGTAAGATTCCCAAAAGGACGACTCATATTGACAGATGCAACTAGACACAAACCAAGTCTGGAAAAAAAAAAAGGCATGGACTCAGCGATTTACTGTATGAAGTGAAATGAAAGGAAATAACTTCATATCTCTGAAAGACCCTCCTCCAGTCTAAAGGCCCAGTCACACCAGCTTTTAAAAACAAAAGGGCATCAGGGTAAAGCTCAACAAACTATAAAATTGACTGCCAAAGTTGACCGATAGACGATCGTCTCAATGGTGCTGACTTTTTTGGGGAACGAAGCTGCTTATTAGCCGAGTGGCACCATTCCCTTTTTTTTTTTAATCGAACCTCCTTATGGTACCAAAACATCCCCCTCTTCAATAAAATGATCTTTATTGAAAATACGTTATGCACACGCCTGAGAACAAACATGGGGAGTAAAGGACGCAGCTGTTTTGACTGGATAATGCTACCATCTTCCCAGGTGGCTACTAGCATGTTAGCGGTTAGCTCGCAAGCTACAATAGTTCACAAATTAGCCCTGCATGTAGTGCCTGCATGTTTCTAGAACTTTTAAAAACAAATACATGCGATACAGTTCGTTTTTCATTGAGGACGCACTGTAAAGACCATCTTTCAATAAGTCAATACTGGCTTCCCCCTTTTTCGATTTCACCACAACATTCACTGAACTGTAAAGAAACAACGGCACAGAGTTTATTGGCCTTCGACCCTGCGTGACCAACACGACTGTACCGATATTTCATCTAGAAAAACAACTGCCGAAAGTAGAACATGCATTAACGGAGAAAAGCCCATAAAGCCATTTGGTTGACACTTTTAGCCACAGCGCTTCACAGCATCACTGAGTGCAGATCATGTTAGCATGAATGGCCTCAGTGGGAAGTGAACTCCCACCCCAGGCAACGTGCTCCACACACACACACAGCTATACAGACTAGAAGGAGTCCATGTCATTGTCCCAGTTACGGAGCTAGAACCCATATCTCCTCTTTTCTGGTTTTCCTTTAAAATTTCACGATTCATTTAGACTGTTAATAGACTGTGGACTGTTTGAGAGAGTGAAGCGGTAAATCACATTATTCGGAAAGAACATTTGAAGATGTCATCGTGGGAAACTGTAATCGGCATTTTTATTATTTTATTAAAATTGTTGGACTAAACAGCTAATCGATTAATAAAAAATAAACTATTACATTTAATTGCTTCTGAAAATTTAAAAATACAGCATTTCAAAGTCCCCCATTCAAATTCTAACTTAGGTAAAAGCACTTGTACTTTTGCAGAATGCAAATGGTTCATGATGGTTTATTCATTGTACATAATTATTGGAATATTATTACTAATGCAATATGTGAGAAAACATTTAATAGCCTTAGTTTAATTTAACTGTGATTTCATCAACTGATCATACGAGTGAAATCTTAATCTTAAAAGTAACAAGTGCCTAAATCTTTGAAATAAATGTCCAGTTGTGGAGCAGAAAGTACAATATTTCTCTAATGTAGTGGAGTAGAAGTATAAAGACATGAAATGGAAGTAAAGTGCCTCAAACGTCAGTAGCTGCAGCTCTGGAGAAGATGGATTAGCATCAGATGCTTTTACTACACTGAGAGGACAGTATTGTCCCGTTGCTGCTGGTGTCTTACTGACCTCAGCGTGGCCTCCGGCGGTCAGGAGCTTGTTGCAGCGGTCACACTTGAGACACAACTTGTGCCAGTCCTTCCCCAGGGATGACACCTTTTCAGCTGCATATGAAAAGACAAAAGAGACGTGGGGGGTGAGTGCAAACACTCACATAAAGCAGCATTTATATACATCACTACGAACAACGGCCGTCGATTGTGTCGCGCTTTGTACGCCCTATAAAGTGGCGTTCAAATCGCTCATCGCAGAGAGGAATGACGTGCTCTCGTTGCGTCACGCTGCAGAATAATCATTAGCTTGTGCTGTATCTCTGGGCTGCTGCGCCCTTGGAGGGAAATCCTGTCATCGTGCCAACTGTGACTGGAGGGGGGGGGGGGGTACTGGGAATGCCTGTGCACCACCACAGGATGCAGTGGTGATGTCATTGTGGGACAGACAGACAGTGGCGTGAGTCCCAGTCCAGCTGGAGCAGCGGGGGGTGACCACATCCTTTGTGTCGCCCCTCCAAATAACACACACCCCTCCCCCCGGTTTACAGTATACCCATCCTGCTGCAGACGGCCCTTCAACCCCATTTCCGTCCCCTTTCTCTCCCAGACCGACTCCAGACAAGCAAAGGGGCCCTAATTATACCGTTTCCAATAATACAATCTCCGCTGCTTCCACACAATGGACCCCAAGGAGCCGTGGAGGCAGTAGAGGAAACACCTTCTCTTATCAGACAGGGCACAAATAGACGGATACGGGAGTCTGTTTCCTACATACCCTCAGTCAAAAGCACGCACACACACGCACACACACACATGCACACACACACATGCATACAGCACGTATGCAGACATACAGACGATTACTTCCTGGCTTTAGCTGCTTTCCCATATGTACCACTATAACCGGTAAACGTCCTGCGTCAGCTTATAGTCGGGAAGCAAATTAAATCAGAGATTTGAGACGGCATGGAAGTCAATGAACTCATTTACCCAAACAAAATAAAATGGTCATATGGATGTCACGAAAAGGAAAACATGAATTTGAAATTCTTGCATTAAAAAAATGTTTCATTTCATTTTCTATAAACAGACGTTTTCAACTCTTTTGTCTCCAATAATACCACACAACACAAAAAACAAGCAAACCAGCCAAATGAGCACAACATAACCAAACGCATGCTTTTTATTTGAGAGACCTCCCTTCAGCTTTGTATTGTACGGTTCCTTTTATGGATGTGTCTTTTTGTAATGCGTCAGTTTATTCTTTTCACCTTTGACCAAATGAATACCCTTCTTTCAATCATAAAGTTAAGTTGATTTGATGTTACGGGTATCATGGGTTAAAAATGCTTCTCGGGATTGCTTTAGGAGATCCAACTACTCCCTGCAGAGGTTTCTGTTTACTCTCCAATCAGCTCTCCCTGTCAATTATAAAAACACTGAGACGAATTACCAATAACAAGGCCCTGGAGAGTATCCCAGGATTGGGTGCATGACCTCCCATCAACACTTGAGAGCAAAGGAATGCTGATATAGCAGACTGCCGGAAACGTTAAATCACTCTTAAAGTTACTGTTATTCAAAGAAAAAAGGCGACAATAAATCATTCTTTAAAAATCAATAATCTGTTCTTTAATCAGAAGATGGCCACAGAACCTTCAGAAATCACGTGTGTTTATAGTTGGCCACACTGGTCATCACTGAGAGAGAGGGCGAGACGATATTCTTTAAATACGAGTTACACATTTTCCTCTCCTGAAAGTCATTCATAGTGTTGCACTCAGTGTTGTAGTTACACCAGCAGACAGATATGAATGGAAACAGTATGTCCTCATTCTGTGACTCTCTCTGTGTGTAGTAACAACGTGTTAAAGGGCAGTTGTTATTATAAGAGGGGTGAGCCCTGTCTGTGTGTGTTATGTGTTGTGGGAGTTACAGAGTGGGGGAGGTGGAGGGGATCTGCTTCTGGTCCAGATGTTTATAACCCCCCCCCCCCCAGCTCCAATGTGAGCCTGTATCTTTATTATCCTTCATACTGTATCGCCTCCATTGCTGAAATAAAGCCAGAAAACATTGCATTTAAGTTGACATTTCACATGCATGAAAGAGGAAAAAAAGAAAAATTTAAGTGACTGCAACAATGGGCCGACAGATAGTTCTTTGTCTTCCAAAATAGTAAACATGTGGGCACAAATGAGGCGACTGAAATGCCACCAAGTCTTCCTCTACCTTATCACGGAGACAACCTGAGGGTAAAAGCACCCACTTGTGTAAACACAACAAGCTCCTGTTCACAGGGAAGTCTCTCCGGATAGTCACCGATGAGGATGTGCCAAATCCTTTAAGCCAATCTGTTTTCTCTCTCCCGACGGTCTCACTCAAAAGCTCACAACAAAGGATTCCCCCGTGGTTTAATGCAAACGGTGGGACTGCTTTGGGAAATCACTGCTGAAGAGTTCGTAGAACTTCTCACCTGACGTTTGTGTCCGTTTTTGCTACCTACTGTAAGGTATATCTCAGATTAAGCAAATCAAATAAGAACTTTTTCCACAAACAGCCAACGCCATATATTTCATGCGAGTGTGACTTTTTAGGACGTAACCTACGAACTGAATTGATCGCCAAACGAGATACGTCAGAATCTGGGCGGCTTACCACCTCGGCTCAACTATTTCACAGTTATGGAAATCCACTTTTGTTGAAGACAAGATGCCATAATATTGAGGTGCTGATTAATTGTCAAAATGTTGCATTAAAGGCCGGTGTAGTAGACGTAAGATGAACAAGCGGCATGACTGGCGGCTTAGGAGCCCGTTTTATTTTGGCAATAATTATATAAAAATCAGAGGTTGTAGAGATCCAGAAAACATCTGGATTTGTGGGACTTTTCTGTCTCTAAAAAAAATGTAATAAATGTATTTTTTTATATTGATATAAAGTACCGACTGACAGACGATGCTACTGCAGGTGTGCTGGTCAGAGAGGTCTGCACCAGAACCATATGATTGATACCTGCATCACTATAAGCTGCTTAACTTCATTTGTGAATTCCAGGTCTTAAGCTCTTCAGTCTGCGGTCGGCCTCTCTGATTGCATCGTCAATATGGTTTTAAATCACCGAGACAGCCGGCTGCTGACTCCTCTTCGCTCTGATTCAGCGTCAGTGTTTACGATTGTTTGTTTCACTGACGTTACTGAACATTAATCAAAGGAAAAGAGGCTTGAAGGTGCTTTTGTAATTATGGAAAAGGGTCTCGTTTGTGCTCGTCAAGTCAACTTGAGCCACAACAACGTGCTGTTAGAGCATGCGTTACTGAGAAGATGTGAAGAAAAAGAAACACAATTTCATGTCGATACGAGTACCGAAACGCTGCACACTGAGCCCCCTGATGTGCATAAACACAACCCCAGCTGTGGCGCCTCCACCCACCTCGGCACAGTTAGGTAGGTTGATTTGGAGCCAGGAAATTACCAAACAGGCTCAAAAAAATATATATTTGACTTGACGCCCAACGAAAAAAGGCATTACGACAGCGTTAGCGCTGCCACTGGCAGGAAATTAAGGGGCAACATCTCATCTAAACAGTGACGTTTAAAAGTCAAAGTTTTCAGTGCTTTTACGTAATTGGAAAAAGCATTTAAATTGCGAATAGCTCATGCTTTCTGATTTAATAAGGTCAGACATTTTCACACTATATACGGCACTGGGGTCAACGTTCATGCGCAAAGACATTGAACGTCTGTGAAAGACCATAACTAATGAGAAAGCACCGTTTTCCCTCACTTGATCGCATTTCATTTTGAAAAAAATAGCTTTTTCTACGTTTCTGATGACATGTTATCCATGATGTCAGCCCATAACACCAATACTTATTAAGAGAGCATTTGATAAGGGCAGTCATCAGAAATCCTTAGTTGGGTCTAACTTTATTCCTAGGAAATTTGAGTCATGAGACGTCTAACGCGACGGGTAAAGACAGCAATTCGGTATCAAGTACTTTCTTTGAAAACGAATGACTCATGTGATATTCCAGTGAGCAGATCAGACGACTTCTAGCCGGTTATAATTTTATTAATTTCGTTATTTCTGTGACATGATTCACTTACACTTCAGATCTTATTAAGACTGAAACCAATTAGGCTCCGTGTACAGACGGCCTGTAAGAGGAGCGGCAAATGGCAAAACACTCTGTAATTGGACAGAACATTAAGCAACAGAACTGTAACGAGCGGTCTTCAGAGGGGAAAAGATTAACAGCCAATTCCTCCAAAAGGACTTAATTATCAACAGCGACAGGGCAGCTGCACCCAAACACCAGAGCTGGTGATGGACTGAGATTCACCCCCAATGTTAGAAGGAAATTCAACCTTTCTAAAATGTCAAAAGAGATAAAGAAGCACTACAAGTACTGAACAACATTTATACAGCTGAAGTCCCAGCATGCAACACGACAGGGGGGTTGGGCTCTGAAATCTCCCATGGGTGCTCTTTTTATCTTTATGTTTTGGTTCCGCACACTGTGATTGGTTGATTGCTATATTCGCAGTGCAAAAGCTCCAAAAAAATTACCTCACGCTGAAAAACAGAAATTACAGCTATTTCGCATTCAGTGTGAACGTTCTCATGACAAAAACAACAGTTCGACAAAATATACATACCGACGTACTAAATGAAAAATGTCCTTTAAACCCTTTTAGATAACAATCCCTGTCATTTACCTTCCATACGTAAACCAACCAATTTCAACCACTAATACCATGACATCCATCCATCAATCATTCTGACACTTTAAGCAACAGGGGAGGTTTGTTTCGCGCCACGTTCCTCTGTAGCTGAACTCTAAAAACGTTTTAGCGATCCAATAAAATTCTACGAATCCCTGTTATAACTACACTACTCAAACATTCAGTTTCACTGAATGAGTCACAGAACAGAAGCTAAAAAAAAAAACAACTTAGTTTTACTGGGACTTTAAAGAGAAGGGCAAATAAATGTAACTCACTATCATGAAGCACGAGGTTAAATACGAATCATCAAGGACCTCATTCATGTATAAAATGGTACAGTTTATAACGATATTCTGGATCAGTAAGCTGGAGTTTCTCCATAG